CTGTAATCAAGGTTAAAGAATGGCAGGACATCTTAACATTCTACACTATCCCTCTCACAATCTCCATTTGTAATCAGAAATACCCGCAAGACTTTAGCTTTGGAAGAATCTCTACATGTGTTATTTATAAACACACTGATCACAGTTCCTTGCTCAATGCATATGCTCAACAAATATATGAATCCTATGGAAATAACAGATAGAAACTACAACCATCCACCAACATTTGGTGGCACAGAGACAGGAAGTGTTGTTACACTGGCATCTCACTACAACACCATTACTTTTTAGGGTAAATTCAGTGTAAGCTGAAGCTGTCTTAGGCCGCCATCAAAACAAGCTTAATTATAGAACCACTAAAAAAGCTTAATTATGAGGCATGCTCACCAGGAAGGGATTCCATAACACCAATCTTTGGCATAGCTTTATAATGAAGCTTCAATGTACAGTATGTTGATGGGAAATATTTACTTATTGTATCCTAAATTTGGATGAAAACACATTTAAACGTAATTTCCAAAGAAAGACTTTTATATTTTCTGATCTCAACTAACCCTTAACAAGTTTACTTATTTTAATGTCATCACTTTTGCCTATTTTCTATTTCATTGAATAATTAGAGGGGTATGAATTTCTAAAAAAAAAATCAGATTTCTCCTAAAATGAATCCCACTTGGGGATTATGCTCATTTCAAAGGAAGTATAGCCTTGAGGCTACATTTGTGGTAACAAGATGAAAAAGCAACTTTTTTGAGATTTCATTCCCTTTTAACTTATCTGTTATATTTATTATATACATTTCACCACTGAAAAAATAAGTTTTGAAAAATTTAGGAAAGTATTACTGATGCAATAATTCATATACAGCTTTTTAAGATGCAAAGTGCCGTAGAGTCTTTGCATACGTCACTTTTTTCTAGGTATATCAACTTTGGAATTCAGGGAAAAAATTTACAGAACTTATTGAGTGACACCAGATAGCAAACAAGGTATAAATTGTTTATCTCCCTCTATTGCCCCCTCATTTCGTTTGTAGTAATCCAATTTTTCCATTCCTTCTTAGCTACTGACATTTTCATCTTGTTTCCTCTCTTCTGAATTATCTTGTATGTCTTGTTTTTAAAAAGAAGACCCACATATTTATTCATCCCAGAAACAAATTAATCTGGTTTACCTTTGAGCTACTCACAAGTAGAAACTACATTAAACCACAGCCAGCTCATACCCACCCAGTAATAGAGTCTCTACTTTTACTACTTTGCTCTTGTTTGGTACATCATCATTATGAGAAACATAAAACTCTATTGGTCAAGATGTTGTGAAGGAACGCTCAGCAAGCTAAAAGGGTGATGATATAAGGGAAGAGGTGAAAGAAATCAGGTATTTAGGTAAAGATATAAAACTACGTGGATAGCTTATAAAATTCCTGTCTGTAATCTAGATGGTGCTTGAATGTTATGCCTGTAGTCAGGAAGTTGAAATATGGCCTCATATACTTACTAGCCCTGTGACCCTGTGGGCAAGTCACTTAACCGCTTTCTGCCTCAGTTTCCTCTTCTGTAAAAGGGGATATTAATTGGGTTGTTGTAAGGATCAAATGAGCTATTTATTTAAAAAAAAACTCTTTGCACATTGTCTAAGACCTAATAGGCACTTAAAAAATGCTTGCTCCATTCTTTCTCCTCTGTAATCTATACAATTGAATATTTATGCAGAAGGTTAAAAATAACTCAGATCCATCTACAACAGTTGAAACAATTGCAGGGCTAAAGAGGTCTCTATGGGAACTTGAGGCCTATTTTTATATTCATGGTCTGCCATCATCATCATCATCATCATCATCATTAAAAGGTACTTTTGAAGACTTTAGTTAAATGTAGTACTGTATTAAGTGCTATATAAAGACAACTATTAGAGATTTCATTTGATATCTAGAAGTTGAGAGAAGGGAGGGAATTTTAAGAGTTCAAGTTGAAAATAAATTTACAGTCTGAGAGAAAACAGACTCAGAGTTCTCCAGCGCTAGAAGACAGATGAAAACAACCTCAGATGTCATCTGGTCCCTCCCATTCCCCACCAGCTACTCTGCTTTTGAACTTCTTCACCACACTTTCCTGCCCCAGGAAACTCATCATTGGGAAATCTCATTATCCTGCAAGATTGAATAAGCCTTACCTTGGCACTCACATCTCATCTGTACTCTTGCCCCTCTGATTAGACCCTGTGATTAGAGGGCAGGACCATGGGTTCCAGGGCCTCCCTTTAAAGAGGGGGCCCAGCGCAGCCTTCTCCCCATTTTCCACCAGGTATACTGCTTTTGGACTTCTCTCGGTGTGGGATCCCTTCTCTCCTCTCTCTCTTACTTCTCAGTTTCCTTTTATGGGCTGTCTTCCCTCTTTAGATTGTAAACTCCTTAGGGTTGGGATTGTCTTTCTTTTCATTTGTGTATCTCCTCCCAGCACTTAACACAATGCCTGGCTCTAGTAAATGCTTAATAAATGTTTATTGACAATTAACTAGTCCAACCCACTCATTTTACAACTGAAGAAACCAAGGCTCCAGAGATAAAATGAATTGCCTGAGTTCATAAGAAACAGGAGAAGTTGGATCCGGATCTAGATTCTCTGACTTTATAGAGTCAGAGTTCACAGAATTCTACAGAGCCAGTTCACTGCTGATTACACTGTACCATACTGATTCTTCAAGCATAAAAGCTAAGACCCATCTTTCTATCTTCCATAGCAATGGAGTCAAACTCAATTATAAACAGGGGCCACTAAACCATATATAAGGATCCCTGTGGGCTACATATTGATTTAGTTTTAAAATATAATATTATTTCTGTTTTATTGTATTTTAAAATTTTTTTGTTAAATATTTCTCAGTTACATTTTAATGTGGTTTAGGTTGCACTGAGTGTTGTGGGGTGCATGTGGCTCATGTTCTATATGTTTGGCACCTCTGTTCTATAGAATCTAACATATTAGATACTCATTAAATGGGTGCTGAGTGATAAAAGAATGAAATGTAGAGACCTGATTCCAAGGAACAGGCAAGAGAAGTCTCTCCTTGTCTTTAGGTATGACTACATCCAAACTACTTCAATAAATGGTGGACCTAGGCTAACCTTCAAATATCGAGGGAAGAGATTTTTAGAAGCTCAGTAATTTATTCTCGCATCTAATGCTCTAGAATGCTCTCCTAAACATTTAATTTAAATCCATCCTGTTTCGATTTAAACCAATTTCTTCTAGTAGGGTTAAAGAGATAATCTTAAGAAAAAGAATTATATAGGTTAAATTTTGAGAACTATTTGAATGTCTTAAGGGAAATAGTAAGAGACCTTGGGGAAATTTAAAAGCAGATTGGATAACTTGCTAAAGCAACTTATTAAATTTTCTCATTCCTATTGGCCTAGAATAGGAGAGATTTTCCCTTCAGCAAAATGGGTATCATTTCCTAGGCCCTTAGCTTCCTGCTCAATCCCATTTCCCACTGCACAGTTAGGCTCCTACAATGCATCAAGGCCTAACCAGTGATGGTGATTTTTGCTATTCTTCATACTGAGGACAACAGAGATTATAATGGTCGTGGCACATGTGTAGGGACATGTACGGTAGTGGCAGATACTGATGGAGATCCATGACACTACTCCATTTACACCCTCTGTAGCCAGATGGAAAATGTCCTACTACAGGACTGAGACAATTCAGCACATCAACCCATCATCACATAAATGATTTTATATATTCACTTTTGAGAGCTCAACTTTACTCAGGATTGCTAAGTATTTGTCTTTAATTGCCTTCAGAATTATTTGACAATCTCTTCAAAACATTTTAAAGTGGACACTGTTGATGTATTTAAAAAAAATAGTTATAAGACAATTAGACTTCTTTGAACTGGTATTTTTAGGGAAAGAGTTTTCAACATGAATGGTTCAAAATGGCTAAAATTTAATCTTGAAGTGCCAAAATTTGTATTCTAACCATTTTGGATGAAAGCCTTTTTACAGTGTACTCCACATTTCTGCCTTCTTAAACAGAACATGAAGGGCACAATTCAACCTTTTTTTATTTGTGATGTTTGGGGTCATCATTATGAACACCAATTACATTCTAATACAGTGATGTCCTGAAAGATTTTTGAGGTGTAACAGCTTAAACTTATGCTAAAATAGTCAGAAAATCCTCTTCTTAAATTCTTATCTCTTTAAAAAATTATTTTAGTTTCCTCCCATCTTTCCCAAATAACAGTAACTCACATTTACATAGTGTTTTAAAGTTTACAAAGTGTTTTTCCCTTAACAGCCTTGTGAGGTAGGTAGTGTAAGTATCATCCCAATTTTACAGATGAAGAAACTGAGGGTCAGGGAGGTCATATGACTAGCCTATGGTTACAGTTAATAAGTACTGAATTCAAATCCAACTCAATCAATCAATAAGCATTCATTAAGTGGCTATGTGGCAGGTATTGTGTCAGGTGCTAGGGATAAAAAGATAAAAATGGAAACAATCCCTACAGTTTTACTGACTCCTGGTTGAATGTTTGAAAAAAAAATGCTCTGCAGCTGTCAGTGTGGCTACTCACAGCCACTCCTCCCCACTCCCTCCCCTGCCCACCCCAATTTCCAATATTATTTGCCACTTCTAATCTACTATGTCTTGAGAAATCAGATAATCAAGCTTTTTAGAAAAGTGTGTAAAAGTAAGACCAATTATATCCCTGAGCTACAGCGTTTGTCACTTAATAAATCCTTGTGGATTTATTGACTGACAGAGGGCTGAAGGCTCTTATGAATAAAGCTCATGAACTCCAATTCATGGACTTTGTGACACTTCTTTTGGCTCTCTTTCTTTCAGACGCTTGGCTGTATTTTGGACAAAGTGGCTAGATGCCTTCTGGTCAACAGGTGCCAGCCACCATATAAATAACCATTCTCCCATTTGTCTTGATGCCAATATGTACCTCAGCCACATAGAAAATCAAAGAAGCCTTACCTTTTTGTAGAGACTCCTCAGATCTCTGTACTGCCACATGCTGTTGAGGACCTGAGATGCTGCCTTTACCACTTTTGGAGAATGTCTGATGCAGAAAGGAGAGAGCGAAGAAAGACAGTGAGCCTTGTACCCAGGGCACAACTCAGCCAGATTTGTCATGAAATTTTAAAAACGTTTGCAATTTTTCTGTTTCTGTTTTCACCTTGGTTTAAGGTTTACAAAGTACGTTTTCTGCAAGCAATCTCACTATAAACCAGTGAAATAGGCAGTATAACTATTATTATCATGCTTGTTTTAAAGATAAAGAAACTGAAGTTTAAATGCAAAGTGACTTTGGTGAGGATCTCAGCACTCTTATGTAGCACTCAAGACTCAAACTCAGGTCTTCCCTGTTTCCCACTGTACCAGTCTATCTTAAGAACAACTGAACAGGTTGTGGTATTCTTCACTGAAAAACATCAAGTCTGACTATTGGAAAGGACTGACCAAGGGGATCTATTTGTAAGTGGGAAGGAAGGAGTTTACCTTTTTTTTTGTTGAAAATATAAAGAAAATGCAGTAGAATACAGTAGAAATACAATAAGTACAGAAACATGGTAGAAATTTAATCATCAGTGGAATAGAAGTCTACTGAAGAGACGGAACAGGCATTTTTTGGCAGTGGTGTTTGTCACATGTATAAGAAGAGAAGGATGTTCATTTTTGTCTCCTTGAGGTTGGGGTACAGCAGGCTCACTAAAGATTTGTAGGGCTCATCTATGTCTCACACTGAGGGATTGGGCTTGGGCTCAGAGCAGACTTTGGAAATAAGCCCTCTACAAGATTAACTAGTGTGGGTGGGTGTGTAGGTAGTACCTATTAATAACAATTTTACCTATTATGTTAATAAAACAATTCAAGTTTGGTACGCTTAGAAATCTACTGGGGTTATACAGCAAGCACGTTTAAAAGAAATTCTGGCTATGAATATATGTGTGTTTATATGTACACATGCACACACAGATATGGTTAGGAAACTGCCCACTGCAGAGACTCTGCCAATGCAGATCATTAATGATACATACCAATTGAAAGATCATCCCTCCTTGATAAATCTATGCCAACAAAGTGAAGACTGGAAGGGTCTACCAAGCTGGGGAGGCTTGAGCATAAGGCTCCGTTGTAGTCTGTGCACCTGTCACCAAGGACCAGCCTAGGTGAGACTCATCATCAGGGTGATTTTGGGGTGTCATTTATTTATTTATTGGCCACATCAGTTCTAGAAGGTTATCTACCCAGTCTTAGATGTTTTATCTGTTATTAGTGGAGGAAGTAATTACACTGATAAAATCATGGATCCTCGAAGTAGCAGATCACAGGATTATAGATTTGGGGATGGATATATTTGAAGTAAGTCACCCAGACCAAATTGTACCAATCAATCAATCAATCAATAAACATTTATTAAGCGCCATTTCCTTCCCATCTTGGATTTTTTATAGTTAAGGAAAGTGAGATCAAGAAATTAAGGGATTTGCCGAAAGTCATAGAAGCAGTAAATAACAAAACCAAAATTTGAACCCATATACTTAGATTCAAAACACAGCACTCTTTCCAATGCCAAAGCATTAATGTGTATACACATGTACACATATATGTATATGTGCATAGATACACATATGCACATATGTGTATGCACATTGACATAGTCCTATATTTGTATTTGTATTCTCTGCTTTTGACTCTCTGGAGTACTCCATTATGCCTGGCGCCTTCTCTCTCTAGAGCTTCCTCACCACCCAGGGCCTTCTCACTCTGGAATATCCTTTCACTCCTCACACTAGAGAATTTCTTCTGGAGTCTCCATTTTAGGGATGGGCCCAGAATGACCATCCTTCATTCTCTGCCTAGCACTGCTTCTATTTTTCCGGCATCACCACCGTCCCTTACTTCCATTTCTCCTTCCCCTTTCCTCTGCTTTTCAGCTTCCTTTTTCGTGTTGTCTTCCTTTATTAAGTTATAAACTCCTTAAGGGCAGGGATAATCTTTCTTTTCTTTTCTTTTTGCTTGTATTTTTATTCCTAGTACTTAGCACAGTGCCTGACACTTCGTAAGCATTTAATAAAAGCTCATTGTTTGCCCGTCTGCCATATACCAACATACATATTTTAGTTCTCATGAGTTCTCGAAATGTTTCCGTGAAAGAATGGATATTCTATTATAGCGATTTAATTTATACATCGCCTTTCACTGAAAAGGTTGGTTAATGGCATAGAAAGTTATTACGTTACAATTACATCCAAAGTTATTACAAGTATCGTGCTTTATATGTAATACTGAATTACCATGATTTAAGAATAGCTTTTAATCTTTTTGCTGATATAAATAATTTCACTTAATGTTTCTTTGTTGACTGTGAATATTTTCTCATTTGTATAATCAACAAACATAGACGTTTATAGTTATTTGCGTGTCTCACCTAGCTGTTTGTCCCTAAAAATAGGAAATCACTACAGCTACATCCGTAGAAATATATAAGTAGCAAGAACTAGAATGGGAAACAATTTAGTATGTAAAAAATCTTTTCAGTGTAATTTCTTCTCTGGACAATGACAAAATGAAAGAGACTGTGAATAGGCAATGACTAATAAACTGAAGCCTGCCCATTTAAATGACAATAAATCACAGTATTATCACAACTTTTGAAGGTTAAAATGTCTCTGCTTTCTTGCTAGTCTTTATTTTTGAAACACCAGACTAATGCTATAGCAACTTCTTTTTGAAGTATTTCAACTACTTCATATTGATTATTTCTACTATGACAAGTGATTATAATAGAAATTCCAATCCACAACTCTTTTCTGACAATAATCATGAGACTGTGAATAGCATTTCTGCCTAATGGCAAGTTGCAGTCATACAGTCAACATTTATTTCCTATGGGAGAGTTAAAAGTGCAAATACAAATGAATTTATGAAACAGATGGACAAGACAGAATGTCAATGATGAGTTTTCAGAGCAACATGAAATGAATACCGTAAATAAAGTTATAAAGACCTCAAAATAGTGACTCTAAGATGGTTCCTAATGGCCAGAGCTGACATGATGGCTAGATGACCTGGATGAATGCAGCCTAACTAATCTGACTGGAAAAAAACCAGTAGCTCCCATGTTTTGTGGCTGGTTTAGGCACCTCTGTCATTAGCAGGGGTCCATTCAATATTTATCTCTATCATTTGTCTTCAAAAGTTATGATGGCCTACAGGGACCTAATCAATGATAATCACTAGACCCAGCTGGTGATCGTGTGGATAAAGCCTTTATTTTTCAGTGTTAATGTCTTGGGTCTTCTTATACATTTGTAAATGAAACAATAAACAGAAACCTAATGGAATTGCAAAATGAATAATAATAATCTTACTCCAATATATGGGAAATGGAAGACTCTGACACACTTTTATAAATGATTGCCCTGTAATTTTTTAAAGGAAGAATCAAATTAGAGTTAATTCCATTTCAGGTAATAATTTTCCAAGAACAAATTTAGGGGGGTAGATTTATAAGCATTTTATAAATTTACAAGGCTGAACTCAATTTTCAAGCTATACTTCATTTTAAAATTCCATTTTCAATAAAGAATTCTTATGACACAAAAATGTATGCTAAAAGGATATGTGGAAACATTGGCATCTGTGGTCACAATGCAATTGGGTATGATGTTCTGATAAAGAAATACAGGGTAACTTTTCTGGTTCAGATTTTTCAGACCAGTGAAGAGAATTGACCATTTGATTAGTATTGAAGGACCATGAGAGATGAAGAAATTATCATGAATTATATTGGGGGTATAAATATTTGTTTTCAACCAAGAAAAAAAAGGCAGTATGAATTGAAGAACTGATGAGGTTGGCTACTTAGTGAGAATACCAGCTCTTCTATAAAGTCTTTCCTGATCCTCTCTTTCCTGATCTTGGCCCATTTAAATTTCACAGAGCATAATGCTTAAAGCTTTCTAATCCACTTAGCATGTATTTGATTCAATTTTAAAAGTATTTATTAGTCACCTAATATGTGTCAAGTACTATGCTAGGGGATGCAAAGACAAAAAACGGCTCCTATTTTCAAGAGGATTATAGCCTCATTCCCCCTCCTGGGGGAGGAAGAATATATACATATATAAGCAAATATAAAAATATATACAGTATCATTTCCAGGGGATGGAGGGAGTAGAACTGGGAGACTCTGGACAGGCATTTTGTAGTAGGTGGCTCAAGTGGAACCTTTAAGGGAGGTAGGGGTTTCTAGAGGCAGTAGTGACAAGGGAGAGCATTCTAGGCATGTGGTACCGTCTATGCAAAGGCATAGGGGAAATGGCGTGAAGAAGGGCAAATAGGCCAATTGGACTGGGAAGTGAATGAAGGGGAGAATTCTGGATTCAGTTTGAAAAGAAAATGAAGCAAGACTATGAAAGATTTAAAAAGTGCTAGATCATTACTTTGCATTAGTTATCTTTGTGTATGCGTTATTTGCTTCCTTTAGATTATAAGCTTCATAAGGACAAAGAGCATGTCGTATTTAAATTCTGGATTCCCTCTAGCATAGTGCTCTGCAGCCATGTTGAGTTGTAGCACAGAACTGAACTGAACTGTATTGTGTGGTGCTTGATAAGGCTCAGTTCTCCACTTGCTGTACATCCTAAACATAGACTCTTTTCAGCAATGCCACTGAACTCCTATTATTGGATAACAAAGCTTGAATAAAGCATCTGACCCGGCCAAAATGTCTGGCTATCAGAAGGAGACAGGGCTTTCACATTATCATTTAAGATCTGAGGGGGCAGCTAGGTGGTGCAGTGGATAGAGCTCCGGCCTTGGAGTCGGGAGGACCTGAGTTCAAATCCGGCCTCAGACACTTGACATTTACTAGCTGTGGTACCATGAGCAAGTCACTTAACCCTGACTACCTCACCAAAAAAGAAAAAAATTGAGTCAGAGAAGAGTTTCTTGGATTGTTAATATGAAAAGACAATTCTATCAATAATAACATTTAGAACCAGAAGTGGTGACCTTAACAGTCAGTATAATTCAAACCTCTTAAATTACTGATGAGGAAACTGAGGACCAGGGAGGTAGAGTGCCTCCTCCACCCTCCAAGTTCGAACAGGAAGTGTTGGAACCAGAATTCAAACTGAGATTGATGACTTTAAATCTCATGTTCTTTGTTTGTTTGTTTGTTTGTTTTAGGCAATTGGGGTTAAGTGACTTGCCCAGAGTCACACAGTTAGTAGATGTGAAGTGTTTGGTCTGAGGCCAGATTTGAACTCAGGTCCTCCTGACTTCAGGGCTGGTGATCTATCCACTGCACCACCTAGCTGGCCCAATCTCATGCTCTTCATATTGCCCCGATGTTGTTCTCTAATCTTGATTAACTTCACCAGATAATTTTATTTTGTTATCGAGATAACTTCAAAGGCAAGTGGATCTCTTCTTTCAGGCTTTCTGGTTATTATTCTGAGACTGTTGCATTAGAATGTAGGCTAAGCATAGACATCCAAGCTCTAAAGAGGCAAGTGAGCTTCCAGGCTCTCCCAACACCTCTCACTGAAGCATATTGATCTCTGTGCTTATGAATATGTATAGATGTGTCAGCATGTTTTTATGAGCATATGTTTCACTGTGATTTTCCTGCTTAAGCAGCAGAGAAACACACTGAGATGACTTCTCAGCACTCAAAGCAGTTAGGCTTGAGACTTTTTAAGTGCTTCTGATGTCATTCACAGAAGAAAACTGTTTTTCTCCTGATGCTGAGGCCCGTTTCATACCGAATGTAATATTGCAGGCTACAGCTTAAGCAAGCAATCTCCCCGGTGGCGTTATTACATCAGGGCTTAATGGGGCTTCTCTACTTAAGAGGAAAAAAAATTGAATCATAATATTGGATTGATGGGTGACCATGCTTGAAGGTCTCAAGGTCTCTAAATAGAGATTCTAAAAAAACCTCACACAACAGTATTTACACTAACATTAAATGCAATTATAATGCAGCAAGAAATCCCATAGCACAGAACTCAAGAGACTTTAGTCAAAAAGAAAGAAAAAAAATTAACCTTGTGTTTCTAAACGTGAATGATACTTTCTAGCAAGAAGGAAAATTATGGAACTATTTCCTCTGATGGGAAAAAGTCTTACTCCTTTCAGCCATTTACTGTAGATAAAGTTTTCTTAAATTTGATAATTAATTAGAATGTAATAAATTAAGATTCTAACCTCTCTGAAGACAGGGGTTGTTTGATTTTTTTCTCTTTCTATTCTCTATATTATGTAACTGGTATGTTACATAAAGGAATAGGAGTAGGTACTAGAGCTGTGATTTCCTTGGTATAGGGAATCTATAGGTGACAAATCTTTATCAATATGTCATTATCTTCCTGGAAACTTAAAAGAGCTGCCTAGAACATGGAGAGGCTAGGTAACTTGCCTAAGCTAACACAGACAATGCGCATCACAGGTCAGACTTGAACCCTTATATAGGACAGGTATTTAATAATAATAATGATGATTATTGTTTTTGCTTAGGATTGGATGACACGATAAAATCTTGGGGAGAAATGTTCATTTTCAATCTTTTAATCCTTTTTTTTAATTAACAGATGAATTAATGAAAGGCAGTATGGCATAATGGTATAAAGTACTAGTCTTGCAATAAGAAAGACTTTTGTCCAACTTTTACTTCTGAGATATCCTTGCTACATGAGCATGTGAAAGTTACTTTACCTCTAAGTGCCCCAGAAAACTCTCAAAGACTATAAGTTACAACTAAGTTTCTAATGGGTAGAGGAAATTTTCATAAAAGCAATTCCCCCACAGAGATGAAAAATCAGAGATCTGAACAGGAAAAAAATTATCATTTATTCTTAAAACAATTTAATTTATGATGTTGTTGTTCAGTCACATCTGATTCTTCATGACCCCATTTGGGGTTTTTCTTGGCAAATATACTGGAGTGGTTTTCTATTTCCTTCTCCAGCTCATTTTACAAATGAGGAAACTGAGGCAAACAGGGCTAAGTGCTTGCCCAGGCTCACACAACTAGTAAGTGTCTGAGGCCAGATTTGAACTTGGGTCTTCCTCACTCCAAGCCTGGCATTCTATTCACTGTGCCATCTAGTTGCTTATTACTTGATGTTAGATGACATTGAAATTTATGTGTTAGAATAATAATCATTTGTTTCACCATTTGTTCATTTAATCAATAGCTTATGCCATCATCAAAATACATGAAGCTAATACCCTACAGCTGATCTTACTTAACGTCATTTTCTGTTACTATTTCACCACTTTGAATCTGCTTTCCTGCCTGACCTCATCTCTATGGAATAAGATGCCCTCCCAGGATCACTTCCAAACTCACTACCATGCTGCTAACTTATGCCCTGATTGACACCACCTTTCTCAGTCAACTTTCCCCTCTGATTGGAAGGCTGGAGGGCAGGGTACCAAATTCCTCCCAATGTCTTTCTTTATGTCCTGTCTTCCCCTCCCCTTTCCTGCTTACCTTTGTGTGCTGTCTCCCTCTTGATTGTTAGCTCCTCCAGGGCAGTGACTTTCCTTTTATTATTTGTATCCCTAGCACTTAGCACAGTACCAGGTGCATAATAAATGTTTAATAAATGTTTATTGGACTAGATTGGATTGAACCTATTACAAGCAAAAAAATTGAACAAGCCATTGCTTCAATATTGATGGCATTTCTAGGGTTACCTCATTGAGAAGCATTGTAGTATTGTGAATAGGGCACTGGACTTGGAATTAGGAAAATCTGGGTTCAGATCTTGCCTTAGATACTTACTAAATTTATAAACCTGGGCACATCCCTTAACCTGTCTGGGCCTCATTTTCTTCATCTGTAAAATGAGGAGGTTGGACTTGAGGATCTCTAAGATCTCTCCCAGCTTGATAGCTCTGATTCTATAAGCTATTCTGTTAATGTTTCCCTACAAGAATCTTTCTGATGGCTTGGTTTGGGCCAGAAGCTTATGAAACAGACATGAATTATTTTTTCAAATCTTAATTACTAAGCAGTTTTGCTTTATTATTGGGCATGAATAATGAAAGTCTTTCTTGTTTCTCTCCTTTTAACTAGCAAGGTTAATTAAGCAAATGATTTACAATTAGGTTAAATAATGCATCTCATAAGTAGCTGAGACAAGGTGTACTTATTTGACATCAATAATATTTATTTTAAGAAGACCCAAAAGTGTGAAGCAACTTGATAACTTACTTGTCTCCCTTACTCTTGGAGATGCCAACCAACTTCTCAATGCCTCCAGCATCCCGTAAGGCCTTGGCATTCTCCATGTTCTTAGTTATCACTTCGTGCAGAGTACAACAGATGGCAGTAACCGTGTCATCAGACATGGCCTTGCTGGCTGAGCTGTTGCTGTTGTTTCCTCCCGGAAGCCGATGGACCAGGTCTCTCATGGCATACTTGCCTTTGGGAAAGAAAAGGAGGGAAGAGGTTGAATTGAAGCCAGAAGAAAAATGGTAGTGGTTGAGGTTGGTAGAGGCAAGCCTAAGAAAACACAGAAGGCCAAAGATATTTTGTAAGTTTCACATCATAGCATTATTTTTGATCGCGTAAAAAGGAAGGTTTTCTTATGTAAGGGAGAGCTACAACTTTAAAAGAAAAAAAATCAGAGGAGAGTGAAACATACTCATATATACCAGTTTTTTATTTTCAAACTGACTTTGTTCCTATTATTTTATGCCTCAGTACCTTTTCTGAAAGAGATGTAGAAAGGGAACTGAGTGATTACAAAGAGACCATCATCTAAACAAAGCAAGACCAAAAAAAAGTGGCACATCCCCTAGGGAGACCTTTAGGATAAAACAAGGGCTTTGAAGCTTGAAGTCAAAGATAAACAAGTGGACAATCACAAATGTTTTAGCTATTGTTTTCTTTTGAGGAACTCCTAGTAGGATGGAGAAGAAAGGGAGTAGGCATTTATTAAGCACCTGTTATGTGCCATTCACTCTGCTAAGTTTTTTACAGTTATCTCATTTTGCAAATATTATTTCAGATTAATGACTGATGTAAATCTTGCACTTTCCAAGAATACAATTATACTGTTTTATATCAAGAATGGCTTACGTGACTAAGAAGAGTAGGTCAAAATTTATCAGTGGTTTCAACAAAGGGATGGAATTATTTTGTTTTCAACATTTTAACATCTATCTCATTGATGAATAAAACAATTTAACAAACATTTATTAGTTATTTAAGCATGGTGAGGGATTCAAGATAAAAAAATCAATAGGGCTATCACATATCTTTGTGAGGTTAATGATATTATTTTAGGCTTTTAAAATGATGTTCTATTGTTTTATATGGCAGCATCAATGTATTTCGTATAGTATTTTTTTCTTTTCTCTTTAAGGCGTCACATAAAGCTTATAAATGTGATAGGAGGCTGTAGGTCTATGGACTGGCCATTCCTGCCGTAGCCCCATTCTTTTCCCTTTCGTCACTTCACAAGTAAGATCAGTACTTCTCAGAAAACCGTTGCTATGGTCTTTTGGTCAGCAGATAATGTCACTATTTTTTAAAAGTTACTTTAATCCTTCAGGTAGTAGAGAGAGACAGAACAGTTTTGAGCTAATGCCAAAAGCCATTAAAAAAAGTATTTGGGAAATCATCCAAGAGACTGACAGATTTTTGAGTGCTTCCTATTTCCTATGTGACATATACTAGCCCAGAATGAAGAAGATTTAAGGGATACACAATTTGTTTGTAGCCAAAGCTAAAGTAGCATGAAGACAGAATGAGTATACAATGACATGGAGTGATATGAGAGATATCTATGCTCAAAAACATCTCTTCCATTAGCCTACCATTAGGTCCTGGTTCAAATAATAAAAATGCTATCAAATTACCAAAAACATTAATCATTAGCCATTAGCATTCCAGGTAGGATTATGTAGTTGGATTATTTTGCCAATTACTTAGCAAGGACAGGTGAAAATGGAGAGGATTGCATGGGAAAGGAAGCAGACTATGGGAAAGCAGGCTTCAGTTTGGTGCCTGGAGGCCCTGGAGACCAGGGAATCACAAGAGGGGTCAAAGTCCCATGAAAAACATCATTAAAAAGGAGGAAGGAGGGCAGGGTGATCTTTTGAAGAGATTCGGAATCAGGAGCTCTGAGTTTGGACCTGACAAATGATTAGCTATGTAATTATTGGTAAGTCATCTAAACTCTTCAGAGCCTGTGTTTTCTCATCTGTAAAATGAAAATAATAATATCTGTTCTACCTTCATCACATGGCTGTTGTAAGGAATGTTTTATAAATCTCAACAAACTGTATAAATATGTGCTGTTAGGTTCCCAGTTTGAATAAAGGTAAGGGAGGAGTCTGGAAGCACTTATCTACTCCATAATTTTGGCCTATGTAATAATAGTATGTTATTATGTAATTAATTATGTAATTATATAATTTATTATCGCTATGTAATAATAGTAATAGTTATGTAGTACCTGCTATGTGCCACCCACTGTGCTTAGCCCTTTACAATTATTATCTCATTTGATCCTTACAATAACCCAGGGAGGTAGGGTTCATTATTATAGTAATTTTACAGATGAGGAAACTGGAACAAACAGAGGTTATGACTTGCCCTGAGTCATTCAGCTAGTAAGTGTCTGAGGCAGGATTAGAATTTGCATCTTTCTAAATCCAGTCCGCAGTTCTCTATCCCCTGAATGGCCTGGCTGCCTCTGTAGCACTTCTCAGAGAAAATACACAGAATCATGGGATAAAACTAGAAATGGAAGAGACCTCAGAGGTCATCTAGGCCTCATTTAACAGGTGAGGAAATGAAAGCTCAGGGACATGCCCAAGGTCACATGGCTATTAAATATTGGAGGTAGCATTAAAACTCAGATCCTCTGTAGGCTAGTTCTTTACCCCACTGAATCTATCCCTCATAAATAGATTCTTATGAAAACCAATCATAACAGGAATAGAAAGGAGAGGTTAAGTATATTAAAGAAATTTTACAATTGCAGTTTACAAAGACATTATACAATAATCTCTTTATATATTTCAGAGACCTGTTGGGTAGAAAGTCCACTGGACCTGGAGTTAGGACCTGGTTTCAAGACCTGGCTCTGCCACTTATTGGCTGGGCGTGCCTTGAACAAGAAATTTAACCTTTTTCAGACTCAGTGTCTTCCTCATCAAAATGGGAATAATAATACTTCCTGACCTCACAGTGTTGTGAGGCACAATGAGAATATGAAGGGGCTTCACAAGCTTAATGGGTTATCATATGAAACATTTAGGGTCTCACTGTTGGTTAAAAATTAAACAGTAATGTTGTTTGGATACTTTAAAAAAGCAACAACAGAATCCACATAAAATATTTGTAAATAAGAGCATCTCTCATAATTTGTCACATTTACTTGTTCATTACAAAACAGAACAGTGTTCCCCAGCATGTTAAGCTACTTGTACATGTGTGTCCTGTCTTGTCCTGCTGGGTTCTTGAAGGAAGTGCCAGAGGCACAACAGCTTTGGCAGCTTCTGCCAAGCTGGAATGACTTCGAATATAATTCTGGTAAGAGATTCTACCTGGTATTTAAGAGGCCCAGCCTCGATAAGTTAGTACAGAGGGCAGGCTGGCCGTTAAGTGATATATTCTTTGGTCATTAATACACAGGAAACACTGACCATTTAACAAATCTGATTCAAATCACATTTATTGACTTTATTTGTACAGGGCACTTGGGCTAGGTATTGGGGTATAACAGATGAAATAATCAAAAGTCTGGTCATCAAAAAGCATTTGAAAGTATACATCTACCAGGTGCCAGGCTCTGTGCTAGGCACTGGGAATAAAATGATAATACATGAAACACATAATACATACATGATAATACATAATCTCAAGGAGCTTTTATTCCAGTGGGGAGACAATATAGCAGGTTCCCTGTTTTCAAGATTCTTACAGTGCAGTAGAGGAGACGGGGCACATACACTAATTCTATAAAACATATCAGAAAGTAGTAAAGGCATAAAAGGGATGAAGAGAGTGATGTGAGGTTACTTCCAACTGGGGGATCATCAGGGAAAGACTTCAAGGAGGTGACATCTCAATCAATCACTCACTATTTCTTCAGTGTTTACTGTGTGCCAGGAAGGCACTGTGCTAAGCAATGGGGATACAAAAAGAGACAAAAGACAGTCCTCACCCTCCAGGAACTTACAATATAAAGGGAGAGACAACATGCAAACAAATGTATTACAAAGTAAGCTATATAGAGGATAAACAGGAAGTAATTACCAGAGGGAAGGCAATAGAATCAAGAGCGGCTGGGGAAGGCTTCAAGTCAAAGAAGGGACTTTAGTTGGGACTTAAAAGATGCCAGGGAGGTCAGTAAGTGGAATGGAGGAGGGAGAGCTTTCCAGGCATGGGGAACAGCCAGAGAAAATCCCCAGAGTGGGGAGCTGGACTATCTTGTTCCTGGAACTGCCAGGAGGTCAGTGTCACTGGCCTTGAGTATATTTTGGGAAATAAGATATGGAATGGTAGGAAGGGGCTAGAGTATGAAGGGATTCGAATGCCAAACAGGGCATTTTATATTTGTTCCTGGAAGCCATGAGGAAGCACTGTAGTTTATTGGGTAGGGAGACATACAAGTTAGATTTTAAAGGACAGGATTTCTACAAACAAAGAGAGAGAGAGAGAGAGAGAGAGAGAGAGAGGGCATTCCAAGCATGAAGGATGAAAAGCCTAGTGAAAAGTGAGTTGTTTATTTTGGCTGGGCAAAGTGGAAGGACATAGTAAAGGTGTAAAGGTAAGGTGTCACCAGACTGTGGAGCACCTTTAATGTCAAGCTAAGGAGAATAAATTTTATTTGGTAGGCAATAGGGAGCCATTGAAACATTTTGAGTAGAAGAGTGATCACTCTGGTGTTATTATATCTTGATTTTGTCTCAGCAAGTTCTGTAATTTGGTCTTATTTCCTGTTATCTCTTTCAAGACACACTTGCAGTTTTAATCGAGAAAAAAAGTGAATCAAAAGTAACCATACATCAACTATCCACAGTAAAAAATTCAGCCACGGTTTTAGAATTGAAAGGGATCTAAGAAGCATCATTTAGTTCATTTTACAGATGAGGAAACAGAAATGAAGAGAGTTTAAGTATCCATAGCTAGTGGCAGAGCAAGAACTAAAATCCTGGTCTCCTGATTCCCTATCTAGTACCACTGAGCATTAGTATTAGTCACTGAACCACTAAACACTTATTCCTTAACAAAGGAACTTCAAGCATCAAGACTATTTTTACTCAGACATACTCCACACCAGCCAGAGCCTGCATTGTAAGGTCATTGTACATGTCAAAGGTCATGTGAGCTAAGAACTACATGGCCTTTTGATTGCATTATTAATACATTCAATATTATTATTCCTGACTTTCTCCTTTCAACACA